CCTTCCTAGGCGGTTTAGTCTTTCCATTTCGCCCAGATTCGAGTTTAATGAGAATCTTCCATTTATCTCGATCATTCTTTTTTTCCCGCGGAAATCTTCTATTTATCCTCAAACTTGACATTTATCTTCAAGTTTGACATTTATCATCTTTCTGCGAGTAAATCGCCAAAACGTCGTCGTATCTTCGGGTTGGACCTCGTTTAAAGTCGCGAGTGGCTTTTATCGCGTTTTATGACTTTCCGAGCCGTTTTGCGATAAATCCGTTTTACGACTTTAGACGAGATCGTTTCCTGATACGATGCCGTTTTTAGATAAGTTTCTCGAGTTAATCGTAAAGCTAAGCAATGTTCGATGTTTCGATTAATCGTTGCCGTTTTCTACGATTTACTAGGGGTTTTATTAAAAACGCGTTTTGTACGATTTTTACGAAAAATCTCGAATAAATCGTATGGTTTAGGCAATATTCGGTGTTTCGTTTAACCGTTGCCGTTTTATAAGATTTCCTCGAGTTCTTTTCGAGAAAACAAAGTTTTACGGTTTTTATCGTAAAACTCGAACGATAAGACGGATCGAGACGAAACGGGAGACATTTCGACCGTGATTTGGAATACGATCGTGTCGAAGGACGTATACCTTGAATCAAGGATGTGGGAGATCGAAGCTCGGGATAGTCGGCTCGACGTACGGCGAGCTAGTTCAGCTTGGCCAAGTCGCCATATGGCGAACTAGGCGATAAGAACCTGTGGGGAAAAGTCAGCGCCTCTTAGTTCGCCTTGGGGCGAACTAGTCGGGACGAGGCTAGTTCGCCCAACGGCGAACTAGGCCGGCTTGGCTTAATTCGCCGTTGGGCGAACTAGCCGGGACGGGGCTAGTTCGCCCAACGGCGAACTAGGCGATAAGAACCTGTGGGGCAAAGTCAGCGCCTCTTATTTCGCCGTTTGACGAACTAGTCGGGACGAGGCTAGTTCGCCGTTGGGCAAACTAGCCGGGACGAGGCTAGTTCGCCGTTGGGCGAACTAGTCGGGACGAGACTAGTTCGCCCAACGGCGAACTAAGCCGGCTTAGCTTAGTTCGCTATTGGGCGAACTAGCCGGGACGAGACTAGTTCGCCAAACGGCAAACTAAGCCGGTCTTGGCTTAGTTCGCCGTTGGGCGAACTAGTCTGGACGAGACTAATTCGCGTTTTACGGCGGTTTCGGTTTTTTGTGGTTTTGTAGAACGATTCTTCGAGTTTTATAAAACGATTCTCGAGTTTTATAAAACGATTCTTTGAGTTTTAGAAAACGATTCTTGAGTTTTATAAAACGATTCTTCGAGTTTTATAAAACGATTCTTCTAGTTTTATAAAACGATTCTCGAGTTTTATAAAACGATTCTTCGTATTTTATAAAAGGATTCTTCTAGTTTTATAAAATGATTCTTCGAGTTTTATAAAACGATCCTCGAGTTTTATAAAACGATTCTAGAGTTTTATAAAACGATTCTTTGAGTTTTATAAAACGATCCTCAAGTTTTATAAACGATACTCGAGGTTTATAAAACGATTCTTTGAGTTTTATAAAACGATCCTCAAGTTTTATAAACGATCCTCAAGTTTTATAAAATGATTCTTAGAGTTTTATAAAACGATACTCGAGGTTTATAAAACGATTCTCGAGTTTTATAAAATGATTCTTCGAGTTTTATAAAACGATCCTCGAGTTTTATAAAATTATTCTTCGAGTTTTATAAAACGATCCATGAGTTTTATAAAACGATTCTCGAATTTTATAAAGCGAATCTTCGAGTTTTGTAAAACGATCCTCGAGTTTTATAAAATGATTCTTGAGTTTTATAAAACGATTCCTCGAGGTTTATAAAACGGTTCTTTGAGTTTTATAAAACGATTTCTTTTTATTTGTACGGGGAGTTTTGGTCATTGATTCCGTCGTGACCGATTTTGACACCAACAATCCATATCTAGTCCGGTCATGTATATCGTTCTTACTTGTTACATTAAGTCTTTATGATTTATTAATCACCATCACTCCGACTATTTTACACTGGGACAGGTTAATTTATGTCTTTGGGGGGGGGAGGTTTACAGTTATTTGTTTACTATGAGTCTTATTAAAATTGTTTTCAAAAACTGTTTTTATTGAGCTCAAGTAAGAGATGATGATCTTATTGATTTTACTTGTTATCTAACAACTCTTTAGCATTATTCTAGATTTACTGATTATAAATAGTACTAAATATGCAAAAGTGGATCAACATGTCAACTATCCACAATTGCTTAGATTGTTTGAAGGAACCAAAGATGACCTCCAATACTAAACCTGACATAACTACTTGTTTTGGGGCTTGGTATACATGGGATCGGATTCTTCAAACAAGTCTAGAAGGTAAAGCCTTGTGTAGATTTATCACTTTTTCGCTCTATTTACGACCCTAGATAGTTAAGTAGAAATATTTAGTTTTAAAAAAATTTAAAAAAAAAGAAAAAGAAAAGAAACATACATTTATAGGTTTTAGTTAGGTGGAATCGGAACATGACTTTGTGGCTACAACCATTAAGGCTTGATTCATAATGATTCCCACAAAAAGGATTCGATTGGGACTTGGTGGCTACACCCATTAACGCTGACTTCGTATGAATTCTTTGAGATCGGTCAAAAAGATGTGATCGGGACTTGGTGAAAACCACCATTAAGGCTTGTTTCGTGGAAACATGTCCAATCTTGGTCAATGATCATGCAAATAAAGGAGACTTTGACTCAAGAGAGAAATTAGAAGAGAGGAAAAATAGGAACAAACCTTTACCAGCAGATCCAAATACTTGTTTGAAATGCCTTGCATCCTGTGATCGATACTCCCAAGGTAAACCTGCATTTTTATTTAATTTAAGAAATGAGGTTGGTTGAGGAGATTGTCAGACAGTATTTGCTAAGTTGCTGGCTAGATGAACTTGGTTGCTAAGCTAGGATATGGTATGATGTGCTTCTGTGATTAGGACTTCTTAGATGTGGATTGAAATATTGTAGAGGTGATGATTTGAAAATTTTAAATATGTGAGTCCCTGCTGTTTTCAAATCACTTTCAGAGAGATTGCCTGTTTGTTTTGCTTGAGGACAAGCAAAAAAGGTAAGTACGGGGAGTTGATATACCATGATTTTGAACAATTTTTAGTCAAGGTATATGAGTATTTTAATATCTATTTATTATATTATAGAGACTTTTAAGTATAAATTTATTTATGGGTTCAGGAGTATTTTGGAAGAAAGCGATGTTTTGGAGCATTTTGGAGAGAAAAAGAGAATTCACTCGATTTGGACATCGACCAGCACAAGAGGTCGACACGGAATGTTTACAATTGATCGATACGCACTCTGCGATCTCGATCTATACCGAAGGTACGAAAGATCAATTCGTGACCCACCCGACTTGAAGTCCAAGACTTTGCCAAATTACAAGTATACCCCCAAAGAGTTTTAACCTAAGTATTTATACTTTGCCATAGTGTTTTAGGCAAAGAGAGCTTTCTTGTATTCTTATTTTCACAGCAAAAGATTTTTTAGGATTTTTTTAGTTGGAGAGAATATCAAGAGAGATTTGTGATTGGAAGTCCATTATTATCTATCTATCTATTTATGCAATTTATTTACCTTATTTGTGCTATAAATTGCTTAGCCACATTTCAGTAATTCACTTGTTAGAGTTAGGGTTTAAATAGGTTAGAGGGATTAGCCTTATCTGTAGGATCACTTGTTGTGATATTTATTAATAGAATCTTCTTAATGCTTATGTTCTAGATTTTCTAACTACAAACCTGGTCTAAGGAGTTTAGATTGTTTGAGCAACCTTTAGAAAATACTAATATCCCGAATCTATTCTATTAAGCTAGGATTTGCTGGAGTACAGCGATAGCTTGATATAGGGGCCTTAGTGGGTATAATTAACTCGCGCATAAAGCTAAACAGGGAGAGCGTCGATTGATATTCCTATTGGAAATCGATCGACGTAGTGAAAAGTGAATCAATTGATATTCATATAGAATGATCGCTCGACATTGCTATTGATCGAAAACTCTTGTTTGGGTCAATAGATCTAGTTTATAGACTTATTCAGTAAAGTGAATGCCTAAAGAATTTGTTATTTAGTGGTTGAGCTCTTCAATATCATGCATACAAGTATTTAGCACCTATAGGATTATAATCCCTAATGCCTGAATAAAAACCCTAAGTCTAATACCTTTCCAATTAAGATTCAACCCTCAATCAATTAAGTGAAGCAACTATCTTGCTCAATTAGGATCATTACTGCTTTTTACTTTAATCTCATTACTGCAATTTACTTTAAACCAACCTAGTATTATTCATTTGATTATATTTAATTGGTTCCCTAGCTCCTTGTGGATTCAATCTCTAAGTACTACAACTGATCTCTTGTTTCAGAGAGTAAGTCACTCTTTAGGGTAAAAATTGAGTGATATCACCGACCGTCTCAAGTAGACAATTACTGGTTGCTTCTCGAAGATACAAGAGGAGGAGCTTCAGCCGAGAGCTCAAAGAGTGTGAGGCAAAAGGAGTCCATAGCAAGACAAAAGTCAACTTGAAAACATCATTTAAAACATAACAATCCCATCTTGCATTTCGACAAGTGATGTTACAACGAAAGCTCTTAAGCAATCAACATAAACCGTAATAAATCTTTCAACAACATCCTAATAAAGCCTAAATACGTTTTCACAGAGCATAACAGAACACTAGTGTGAATATTAACTAACCTTGTCAGTATATTCTCATGACTTTTTAACTAAACAATCCGATAAAACCCATTAAACATGTAAGAAGCCTAAAATTTTTGATCAAAGACCAAAGCTTAACAATGACCCACAAAACTAAAAAATGTAATCGCCTATACTCCAAGAAACCTAATAGATCTACGCACTCAAATCATACAGATAAGATCTAGTGGAGCTTAATTAAGCAGGCAGAGATGCATCGAATAGTGAATCGACGATGGATGGGGCTTACCTTCATGATACAAGTCTTCACCAGCGCTGCGTTCACCACACACCTAAGAGAATCAACAATCCAAAGGAGACTCCGTGCAGACCAAGAGAGTCGTCGTCAGTGGTGGGTTTTGATTGGTTTCTGACGGAGAAGACGAGAGAAGATGGAGGAGACTCCATGAGGACCGAGACAGTCGTTGTCCATGGTGATTTTGATCGGGCTTCTGGCGGTGAAGACGACAGACACCAGAGGAGACGCTGTGAGGATAGTCGTCGTCGTTTTGATCACCTTTTGGGTCAGAGAAGACGAGAAACCGAGATAAAATCCGAGAAAGAAAGAAAGAAAAAGATAAAAAAAAAAATAGAAGCTTTGTATACTGACACGTAGTTAAAAAAATCACTTAAACAGTCTCCAAAATCCCTAGTTAAGGATCGGTAATCTCTCCTTTATTTTATTTTCATTTAATTAAATGGGTTTTAAAAACCCACTTAACAGTCGGCGATAATTTTGATCTTATTAATATATATATATATATATCTTTACTTATAACTTTATTTGTATGTCACGCACAAAGGATTATTGTGCTCAGTCGACAGTTCTAGCATTGGTTTTGTGGGGCAAGAATATTCTGACATTGTGCTTGCTTGTCTAGAATACCATGTACTAACTATCCTTTCATATGTTGTCAAAACGAAATAAGAACAAGAGCCTAATAGTTATTTCCTATTGTCGAAAGTTATTAGTGCCACCACGTGAATTCTTTTGTAGTTTTTCTGATCTTGAGTTTTTTTACCTGGAAAGATTTCACATCTTTTGATAACGAATACATTTTTGCATAATTGATTTTTTTTATTATTTTAGAAGCAGGGTGTGTATGTTATTATACATGGCAGAACGAAATATGAGGCTAGTCATCCTCCAACTTTATCTCAAATTCTAATATATTGTCTTCCTCTTTGGACCACATCTAATAAGTGTGGTTATTGTCCTTTGCTAAATAATAGATAGCAAATGTCCTTTTTTATACAAACAAATTCAGACAGAGTTGTTTCTTTATCACTATTTTTCTTGATGGGGGATCCCTTATCCTCGGTGGTTCGAGCTTCACCATAGCCATTCGTACATGTTTTAACATTTTACGGTGATGCTTAGCATTTAGCTTTACAAATATCAGTTAGTTGCGAGTCTTGTGCTCTTCACTACAGAAATGACGAAAGAGAACACTAGTCATCACCATGCAGAAGCAAAGAGAAAGAGACTCATTTGGATTTTGTGTGTAAGTGGATTCTGCATATTGTCTTACGTTCTTGGCTCCTGGCAAACCAACACAGTCCCGTCTTCTTCCTCTGCGGTCTACAAAAGAATGGGTTGTGATGAAGCCAAGACGCAGACAAAACTTTCTTCCTCTGCACATAATGATGATGAGAATCTCTCCTCTTCCTTGTCCTCCTCTTCAACTTCAGAACCAGTTGAGTTAGATTTCGAAAGCCATCACAAACTCGAGCTCAAGCAAAAGAACCAAACCATAAAGTATTTCGAACCATGTGACATGTCTCTCAGCGAGTACACTCCATGTGAAGATCGAGAGAGAGGAAGAAGATTCGATAGGAACATGATGAAGTACAGAGAGAGACATTGTCCTTCAAAAAATGAGCTTCTCTATTGTCTGATTCCTCCTCCACCAAACTACAAGATTCCATTCAAATGGCCTCAGAGCAGAGACTATGCTTGGTACGACAACATCCCACACAAAGAGTTAAGTATTGAGAAAGCTATCCAGAATTGGATTCAAGTTGAAGGTGAACGGTTTAGATTCCCTGGTGGTGGCACCGGGTTTCCACGTGGAGCTGATGCTTACATTGATGACATCTCTAGACTCATCCCCCTTACTAATGGAGCCATAAGAACAGCTATTGATACAGGATGTGGTGTACGTTTCGATTTCTACTACTCTTTTAGATGCATCCATCATTTTATTTTAATCTGATGGGAGATCTGGAGGCTTATAAAAAAGCCCGTGTTTTTGCCACTTAAGGCATTGATGTTTGACTAGTTTTAAATGATTCAGTGTTGTTGGTTGTATAGGTTGCAAGCTTTGGTGCTTACTTGTTGAAGAGAGATATATTGGCTATGTCTTTTGCTCCAAGAGATACTCATGAAGCTCAGGTCCAGTTTGCGTTGGAACGTGGAGTTCCTGCGATTATAGGGATAATGGGATCAATAAGGCTTCCTTACCCAGCCCGAGCTTTCGATCTTGCTCATTGTTCTCGTTGTTTGATTCCTTGGTTTCAGAACGGTAAGAAAATTTTCTTGGTCTTTCTTTCATTAGGTTTCTTTATTCTTTTTTCTTTTTACCAACAAGTAGGTTTCTTGATTATTATTGGAACTTAACCAATAACAAATTAGTTGTATGTAGATGGTTTGTACTTAACTGAAGTGGACCGGGTTTTAAGACCGGGTGGTTATTGGATCCTCTCCGGCCCACCGATCAACTGGAAGCAACACTGGAAAGGCTGGGAAAGATCACAAGAGGATTTGAAACAAGAGCAAGATTCAATAGAAAATGCAGCAAGGAGTCTTTGTTGGAAGAAAGTTACAGAGAAGGGTGATTTTTCAATTTGGCAAAAGCCAATTAATCACATTGAGTGTAAGAAACTCAAACGAGTTCATAAATCTCCTCCCGTATACACCAAAGCAGTTCAACCTGATTCCGCTTGGTACACAATCTCAATCCCTTCCACAAGCTCAAAATCAATATATGTTTTGCTAAATTTTATGAATAATGAAAAAAAAAATTTATGAATCGTGAGCTTCCAACTAAAAACCAGCAAGAACAGGCAAATGTCCCCGGATGAGACACTTTAACATAATTCATGCTGTACCTTTGACAGGTATAAAGAATTGGAATCTTGTGTAACTCCTTTGCCAGAGGCAAAAAGTCCAGATGAATTCGCTGGAGGTGCATTGGATGATTGGCCGGACCGAGCATTTGCGGTCCCGCCTAGGATTATCCAGGGAACTATACCGGAGATCAATGCTGAAAAATTCAGAAATGACAATGAGGTTTGGAAGGAGAGAGTAGCATACTACACACAGATAATGCCAGAGCTATCAAGGGGAAGGTTCAGGAACATTATGGACATGAATGCATACCTCGGTGGGTTCGCTGCAGCAATTGTGAAATATCCTTCCTGGGTTATGAATGTGGTTCCCGTAGACGCAGAGAAGCAAACGTTAGGTGTGATTTATGAGAGGGGATTTATAGGAACGTATCAAGACTGGTGTGAAGGATTCTCTACGTATCCAAGAACTTATGATCTTATTCACGCTGGTGGATTGTTCAGCATTTATGAAAACAGGTAAACGCACATTACTAAGACACTAATTAAGTTTAATTTTTTTCAAAGTAAATCAACAAAATTAAGCATTTTAAGAAAAAGTTATTTTTAAATCCTAAACGTCAAGTACAAAGAGAAAGATAAACACAAATGCTACTGTGTTGTTGTTGTTGTTGTTGTTGTTGTTCAAAGGTGTGATGTGACGTTGATACTACTTGAGATGGATAGAATACTGAGACCAGAAGGAACTGTGGTGTTTAGGGACACTGTAGAAATGTTAACGAAGATACAAAGCATAACCAGTGGAATGAAGTGGACAAGTCGAATTATGGATCACGAGAAAGGTCCTTTTATCCCTGAGAAGATCCTTCTCGCAGTAAAATCCTACTGGACCGGTCCTTCTTCTTAAGCTAGTTTCAGTTTCCTTTTAGACTTTTTACTTTGATCTTCTTCACCCTTTGATTCTTTCTCATCTCTGCCATTATTTAATTTAATTTTTTAAGACTACTATGATATTTGGGAAATTATAGAGACAACATTAGAGAGAGTTTTTCATACTTTTATTTCATACAAGGGAAATAGCATCTTTTATGTTTTTCAGAAAAAAATATGCATGCATGGACCAGCGTCATAACATAGTTTGCTTAGCTTCTAGTTTTGCTGCTAAGCTCTTTCATTGGTTTCTTTTCTATATCTCTCCGAAGAGAAATTGGTTTTAGAATATTCAACATGATGTTCTTTAATATTCAATCAACATTGTTAGAAAAACATTTCAAATTTCATTAAAAAAAAAAACATTTACCAAATGCTAACGTTATTTAAATGTTCTTTACTTAATATTCTCCTATCGAATTTTTAGTAGAACATTTGCATTTATAAAATTAAATAAACATATATAATTAATTTATTTTATTTAATAATATCATAAAATCAGGTTTTAATCCAAAAATAAAATTATATTGTTAAAATATTTTACAATTAAAATAATATATATAAATATTTATTATTTAAAATAAATATATTAAATATTAATTTTCTAATAATTTTAAATAGCATGCTGCAACTCCTATACTAATCGTTTTATTACATAATTTAATAAAAACGTATAAATTATGCAGCATACTGATACTGTTTTATCAATAGTCTTACCAATCAAAGCCTATGTCACCAGTATAAACTGAGAAAATGATTTGGTAGACTGGTATGACATGAACTATGCAATTGAATAGAGAGGGTATGCAATCTCAAAAGTAACTATTGCTATATTTTAAGCCATATTCAACTCATTCATTTATGATACTAGTTGCATACTCCCCGCGCAAGCGCGGGGCCGGGATAATTATGTTTGCGTGTATTTTTTTCGATTATTGGTTTAGTGGATTCTTCTAATGACACCAAATAATAATGAAATGAAAAATTTCATGTTTTTATATCGTATGTCAAAACTTGATATAATTCTATATTTACAGTATATATATTTGTAAGTTTGGGTTTTGTACATAAATGATGTGACATTTTTATCTACGGAGTCATCGACTGTGGGAATCCATTCGCCGAAGTCTGGAGTCGGTGGTGAGAAATGTTTTCAATGAAATTATAGTAGTTATTAAATTGTAAGAGAAATTACATATTCATTTAATAAATAACTAAAAATACTTAAATTTTGTTGTTTATTTTATTTTATTTCACATACAATTTTTTTTGAAAAATATTAGGAATGTGTTAAATGTTATTTATATGCGAAGTAAGGTTTATAGGAATAGTTAGCCTATAATATAGTTTTTAGTGTGTAAAAGTAGGTGTTTTTTTTGCTGTAAATAGTTTTTATATCGTAGATCAAAACTTGATATAATTCTATATTTATAGTATTCATATTTGTATTAAACGATTTATCAATTTAAAAATAACCTTAATTAATTTAATATTCGTTGTTTAAGTTTCATTAGATAGGTTTTTATATATGTTTTTTTGTAAGTTTGAGTTTTGTTCATAAATGATGTGGCATTTTTATCTACGGCGTCATCGACTATGGGAATCCATTCGCGGAGTCTGGAATCGGTGGTGAGGAATGTTTTCAATAAAATTATAGTAGTTATTAAAATGTTAGAGAAATTACATATTCATTTAATAAATAACGAAAATAATTATTTTTTTTATTTTTTTTATTTTATCTCACATACAAATTTTTTTGAAAATATATATTAGGAAATATGTGCAATGATTTAACTTTTTGAGCTCCTAATCTAGATTATTGAAGCCTCATTAAACCATCCATGTAGGCACCCGCGTGGAATTCACTTTTTTTTTTGGTCTGTTCGTTTTTGGATTTATTTTTTATTATTTTTGAGCTGAGCAATATTATAATAGGATAGTTTTAAGGTTCTTTAAGCCATCCGCGTAGGCAATCGCGTGAGACTTGGGTTTTTTTTTCATTGTTCGTTTTGGATTCGTTTTTAACTATTTGGGTTTAAACTTGTTAAGATTTAGGATTTATCCAACTATTTTGATCTTTAAAACAATAAGCCAAAAAAACATAAAAACCTTATAAACAAAAAGCCCATATGATAATAACCCAACATAAAAAAAAAATCAAAAAAACATGATAGCTGTGTGGTTTGAACCCACAATCTTGCATACTTAATTAAACACATTATACCACTTGGCTAAAGTGTATTTCATTGTTTGTAATCATCTTATCAAGACTTTGAGTGTTTAAAAAATATCTACGGGACCCACAAAACTGCTGACGTGGCGCGCTGTGGAGCTTAGAAAGTCTACTATTATAATATAGATTCTTCGCTTTGAATTACTGTATCAAAATATTCATTGATTTTATAAAACTTTTTTCAAGAAAAATTAATATTATTGAACATACTTTATATATCAGACAAGTTTTATCTAATTTCAATGTAGAACTTTAATTGATATCACATAAATTCTCTACTCAAACTACGGACTAAATAAATTCTTGAACCTTCAGCGAAACTCAACACCCATTTTGTACTGCTATTATCACAAACATAACTTTTGACATAATTCTTTAGAAACCGTTAGGAGACTTTTGACACAAGCCACCAATACTTTTATTCACGAATTCGTCTTGAGGGCTGCCATCTTCGTCATGTTCATATTTTTTGAACCAAAGCTCTTAATTGCTTGATGGAATTTTTGATTTTATGGTCAACTTGTCATTAGTATGATAATATTCACATTGAACTCAAATAGCAAAAAACATGGATTTGCTTTTGTACTCTTTTACAAAAGATTTCATAATAATTCGAATTGTACATTAGTTATATAATAAACAATATGATCTACACTTCTGATGTGAGAATTAAAATTGATATCCCAACATATCTTGTATCCCATTTTTTCTAATTTATGTTACAACTTTGCTTAGGAAAACTATTTAAATTCAAATGTTCTCGATATAAAGTCTTTGTTTCTTTACAGAATGTTTAGTATGCGTTGTTTTAGAGAATACAACCAATTTTAGTTTTTTTTTGTATATCAAATACCGTATTTACATAGCAAAATAATATAGATGTTGGTGTAGCTTCTAGAATACTCATGATCAACTCCTGATGAGACATATTCTTCTCTAGTTTCAAGCTTCTTATCTATTAGTGCTTTATTAATGATATAGGGAATATACTTTCTTTCTTGATATTCATTCTCATGATCCAAATCTGACAATGTATTCCAAAATGTGACTTCAGACCTTCGCAGCCATGTCTTACGTATCTGCGTAAGGCAGGTGAGAAACTTATGATGAACAAAATTAGTTGTAATGGCATGTCCCTAATTAGATCTTACTTTCAATCTTAGTATCCTTACTTTCATTTCAATACAACTTTTATTGCAGAGTGAATCGTCTTACAATCAACTTAACTTCCATGAAAACCGAATAAAACAAAGCTAAGGTTTTAGATAAGTTATTAAAAGCTATAAAATAAAATCCCAAAAAGATGGCACAACCCATGACTTTTAATCCTGCACTTCTTCAAACGTACCTGTGCAAAAGAAAGTGTAAGTAATGGGAATTACTCAGTGAAAGTCAGTTCTAGAAACCCACGAACTCAACTCAAACCACATAACCGATTCTTATCACGCATCTCATCATTTCATTCATTCTCAACACACAACCGATTGCCATTTAACAATCTTACATCATCTAGGTGTTTTATATCACATCAACACAAGTCAAAATTAGATCTAACAATTCATCACATCAATACAATCAACAACTAGACATAGACGATATTAACATGGGATTAACGCTATGAAGTATTATGAGACATGAAAAGAATTCACAGTCGGTCCTCACCTTAGCATTACTCGTAGACATGGATCCAGATCTAGAAGAAAAAAAAGAAGAAGACAGCCACATAACCCTAAATTTGCAGTCTCACACTCAACCAAAAATGGGGAAAAGGATTATAAATGAGATCTGTCACACCCAATGACAAATCGCTTGGGAGGAAGAAGGGGGAAAAAACTTAATTCTCAGATTTGATGAACAACGAAGAACAAGACAAAGGAGGGGACACAAACAACGGTGGTGGCGGAGACTCACCGATGGTGGTGGTGATAATTGGAGGTGGCGGCCATCGGCGAGGTTCTAAGATGACGTTGTGACATGTATGCAGATAGAGAGGATATGGAATATATGTATCACTTTTAGCCACATTATAATATGTCTTTTAGATGCACATAAATTGTAGATATTCTTTTCTCTTCAGATTTGGTGACATTAGAAGGAGACCATGTTGGTTTTTCAGAGTTCATGCTGTGTGTGTGAGAGAAACCTCAATGGGGGAAGATGAGTTCTTGTTCTAGGCGATTTGAGAGAGAGATTAATGGAAGAGAGTTTGCACGAGGCTAAGAAGAGATTAAAGACTAATGAGATTGAGGGGCAATGTCAGAATAGAGATTACTACCAAGAAAAAGATTCATTTCGTGAAGGAGGAGGGGAAATCCCCCTCTCTCGTTTAAGAAATACAGTTCGCCTTAAATGGGTCTTTAAATAGGCAGCAGGTTACAAATCATAAACCTACATCCTATGGCTGATAGGAATTGAATATGGACGCCTAGGATTCAGTCTTTGAGTGGTCCTGTACTTGCTGGAAAGTTGAAGCAAGTTGCTGGATGATGGATGGCTTAGATCGCCCCATTTTGAAAGGGATGGCATGGATGGATTCTTGTGTGTGAATAAGGCTGTAAAGGTAAAACACCTTTCCGATTCCAGCCTGTCACTTGCACACACATATGCTAAGGTATATTTCTTATCCATAAAGCTCCCAAACGGTCACAAGATAAGACCACACTTCTCTTGCACCCAAAGTTTGCATATCACCATTTCAAACTTTCCCGGACCTATTATGTACGGCCATGCTTGTGTACGGACGTTGGTACAAACCTCTTGTCCGTACCTCACCCTATTTTTTCCCTCTGACATTGCCCAACACAAAGCTGATCCCGAAATCCTTTTTAGGATTGACCATGTCCATACGGATCCATACGGTCCGTACGGATGATCGACTCTATTCTTGCAAAATCATCCATCTACTTCCAACTGATGCC